CATTCGTGGAAGAAATGAAGTAAGAACATGCAACTTCTTTTTAAGGTAAGACATTTCTTTCCAACTTTAGATAACAAAGGTGTTTCAAAAGCTTTGTTTGAAGGCTTTTGTTTGAACAGAGACAGTTTTCCATTTAACATACTGTGTTTACCCAAAAGCTCCACTTTCAGAATGATTCTTGCCTGTTAGTGGACACGGATTGTTCTATGGAGATTTTAGATTTCTCTAGATCCCGTGTTCACACACACAGTGACACATTCCCAGGTATGGGAAGAAAGAACTGAAACAAAAAAAATGTTTTAAGTCGGGAGGGGCATCGTTGGCTGGGAGGTGGTAAGGGAGCCTTGCAGGTTCCCATTGAATCACCTGGAGGTCAGTGGGGTCTCCCTGTCACCGGTGTATATTATGACGTCGCTGAGGCCAGGAGCATAAAGCATTCCTCTGAGGATACTGGAGAGGTAACTTACTGAAAAGTACAACAGGGTCTTAGCCATAGTGAAGGGCTTTGTGATCGATAAGGATGCTTCTGTGTATTATTATGACGGATGCCCTCAGATACGTCAGAGACCAGGAGTGGCTGGGCTCCTGTCTGATTAAACGACGTCTCTGTCACGAGTGGCCGCTAATCCGCTCTCCTTCTTAGTTGGTGGGCATAACCTCTAGCCTCAGTTTGTAAAGCCAACAAGCCAATGTTGGCCTGGCTTCCTTCCTTTGTTGGGAACGGCAAGCACCGTGGAAACACGATACATTCGCTCCGGGCTGAGGGTCACACAGCCATAGCCCAAAGCCGGATGAAAGGCATCTCAATAATGCTTGACCACCAAGGAAGGTGACCTAAAGGGAAGCTTTTACATTACTTGGGTCCCCGCACCGGGGGCGAGTCTACAGCTTCTTGCTTTCTTTTCACTGGCCTGCCAGATCTTTCTGTACAGCCCTTAACTTCTTCCATCCCTTTGCTTCAATGTGTTGCTAATGTGTTCGCTAAGGACACGGGCCATTCAGGAGCTCCGTGCACCACAAATGGCAGCTTGTCTTCCATTTGTCTCACTGCTTTTGTCTGCAGACTGAACCGTGGACCTGTGCCGTCACTCACAGTGACAAGAGATGCACACTGGCTCTCTCCAGCCCCTTCCTGCAGCAGCAGCTGGGAGACCTCGACAACAAAGACGCCAGCAATCCAAGGCTCGAAGGCCTGCGGGTGACGGCGGATCTCCGCATTCTAGGGGCACCGAAGCCCACAGCTTAGCAGCAGATAGAAGCTCAGTCACTCAACCAACCCCACGAATTTTCACTTTCTATGGCTAAGGTTCTTCTCCAAACTGGAGCTTGCCCGTAGCACACGCTGCGCACCTGGCCGAGATAACGCAGCCCACCGTGGTGCTTATCCTGTCTGTGTCTGCAGAATGGCCAGGTGCGGGGGGCGCATCACAACGTGAGTCTTAGCGTGTCAAGGGATCTGTCATGTCACGACGTGCAAGTATCAGCCTGTCACTCCTCTAGCTGCTTCCCCTGAACGTTAAGTGGACCCAATGAAATTGTGCTTTTTGTAGGTCAAGAAAGATAAAACAAGAAAGAGCAGTGTTATAGGGTTCACCTTAACAGAGAGAAGTGACAAGAATTAACATCAGTGAAGTGACTTCTATGTTGCAGGCCCTAGATGGGGACTTTAGCTCTGCTACTTCTCTTGATTTTCATTAGTGACATCATGCCAAGGTGCTAGTATTATCCCCATTTTACAGATGAGACCAAGGAATTTCTGAGAGGCTAAAGGAACTGCACCCCCTTCCCTGGCCAGTGTGGCTCAGTAGGTTAGGCGTCATCCTGTGCATTGAAGGGTTGATAGTTTGATTCCCCATCGGGGTACAAGTCAGGGGGGCTCGATCCCTGGTGGGAGGCGTGTGGGGGACAGCCGCTGTAGGTTACACTCTCACATTGATGTTTCTCTCTCTAAAAAAAATCAATAAAAAATCATAAAAAAAAAGAAAGTGCCCCAGACTTAGTGAGGACGGCTGAGGTGGGAACCCACTCTTGTGTGCCTCTAGGGCCTGAATACTTTTCCCTTTGCCATGTGAAATCACTAGTAAGGCTCACAGCTGGTTCATTTAAGCTAAAGAATAACCGACACTACTTCCATGTAACAATGACCGAGTCAGATATCATGTCACTACCTACTAAATGCCCTCCGGTGACTCTCCGCTTACGGTTAGGTACAAATCCACTCAAGTCCTCAATATTCTGCTGGTTCCCCTTCTAGCTTTACCTCCTCCCCATTGCTTCCCCTGTTCCCATACTCTACTTCCCAAGTCATATCTCAGATCGCCTTCCTTACGTGGTGACCAAATGTCCAAGCCACGTTCTCTTACTGAAATCATCAACCCAGTCTGTAGAATCGGCTGCAGGAATTTTAAACATTCTTTGAGGCCTATTTTGAATGCCTCCTGGTCCATGACTTTCTCCTGGTTCCCACAAAAGATATGGACAAACTTCAACAGCCCCCTGAATGCCTGCCTTAGCACTTCGGGTCCTACCGGTGATGGCTACTTGGAGCGTTGCCTGTCTTCCCCCTAAAGCTGGGACCTGGAGCAAACATTCTGCAAAGGGCCAGAGAGTAAATATTTTAGGCATTACAGACCACATGGTACCTGTCATAAGTACTCACCTCTGCTGTTGTATTGTGAAAACAGCCACAGACAATACCCAAATGAATGGGCATGGCTGTGTTTCAATAAAACTTTATTAACAAAAACTACTGGCAAGATGGGTGTGGCCCCAGTGTGCCAACCCCTGTCTAAGCTTATTGGTTCTCCAAGGTCAACAGCTGTGTCTCCCTCATGTCTACCTGCTGTGTGGCAGAGTGTCATAGATATTAATGGAACTAAATATAATTTTTAATTGTTGGAATCAGAGATGCTTTTTTTTTAGCTGTCACTGAGGCCCTGAGAACTCTGCAGACTCCTCTCCTTCTGCGGTTGTTGTCTGTGCTCGACACTGAGCTGCCAGACGGACCCTCTTGACCTGTGGCTGATTTTCCTGTAGGCTTGGCCTGGAGCTTCGAAGGCAGGGACTCCTAAGGAGCCACAAAACCCATTGGACCAACCCCTTCTCCTCAAATTTGAGAAAACACCAGTAAAGTTTTCAGTTGTAGAAAGTCACCTTATGCTGGTCACCTGCCAATGCAACAGAGGAAGCTACACAAGGTGGTTTCTGACTCCAGGGAGAGGGAAAGTGGGCCCGAGCGCAGGGAGAAGCTCACAAAACCCGTTTTCTTTCACGGAGCCAGCTAATTCCTAACTTTGTAAGTGATCTGGCGTGGGGGGGCGCTCGCTGCTCTCGGGCTCCCCTCCTGAAGTTACTGTCATGGGTAAATCAGGGTACATCTTCAGAGGTGTGTATATCCACCTACTGGGTCAATTTCAAAACACAGTGGCTCCCCTCCACCATATTCCCCAGGGGCTGGGCTGCCCGTCTTTATTCGTTGATGATATTTTATGCATTAAAACACTTCTGTCCTCCAAGTTCCTGGGTGTGTTCGGTAGGGTACCCACCCTGGCTCCATATATATGGTTAGTTCCTGTCCTCCATCAGCTCTGACCTCCCTTCTTCTTTCTAAATCAGCTGAGACATAGAGATGATCTATATCCTGCTGACTGGGCGTCATCAGTCTATTAGTTATAATCAGACACAAAATAAGAACATAAGAATGTCCTGCAGGAATGTGTGATGACCAGCAACTAGGCTGCCTGCAGTAGTCGTGTCTCTCTTTACACAAGGAATTACTGCTGACCCTTGAACAACACTGCACCCGTCCACTTACTCAATAGATAAATGGCTGGTCCTCTGTATCCCTGGCTTTGCATCATGGATTCAACCAAATGTGGATCAAAAACGGTATTTTCAATCCGTGGTTGGGAATCTGTGGATATGGAGGGTCTACTGTATGCACAGTTCTACCCCATTTTATATAAGGGACTTGAGCATCTACAGATTTTGGTAGCCACAGGGGGAGGAGGTGTCCTGGAACCAATCCCCTGAAAATGAGAGGCGACTGTAGTTAGGTTTTCGGGGAGGTAAAACTTACACACGGATTTTCTATTGCATGGGGCTCGGCACCTCAACCTCCATGGGTCAACTGTACATTGAATCTATTTTTCTTTTTGTCTGGGATCATCGCTAAAAAAATCAGTGTGGATAAAAAGGGATGTTAAACACTAACTGATTAAGCATCGACTTGGGAGGTTTAATGATAAACATGCATCAATTCCTGTTCCCGACCTCTCTGAGGGCCAGACTTTTCAGCAAACCCAGAGCCAACGGCTCTGTGTGGAAGACTGCCTATTATTACAACAAGTAGGAAGAAAATGTGTCAACAGAATCAAAAACAAAATCATGAACTTTGCTGCCGAAGCACCCAGACTCTCCCACCCTTGGCGACTGAGAACGCTCAGCCTAACACAGCTCTCTCTTCTCCGTCCAGTCCCCCCAGTCTCCATGCTCCCCACCGCCTGTCTCAAAAAGAAACATCAGGTTATTTTAAAGCCGTGACCTGGGCAGGCCCCTTGGGCAAGCCCCCAGCTGCTTTCTGGAACAATCCTAATTGCACATCTGCAGCAAAGCTGCCCCAGTTTTCTCCTAGAAAATAACCATGTTTCTCTAACCAGACCCGGGTCACCACTCTGCTGCTATGAAAAGCAAACTTTGATCATTATTATAAATGAGATGATTCTCATGAATATTAAGACAACTGAGCTTCTGCTTGATAAAAATCGCCCCGTTCACCCTGTGTGCTTCTCTTCCTTTCCTTTGAGCGACCTACAAATGTTGGAAATGTGATTCCTAGTCAGACCGAGACCAGGCCCTCGGTTTCAGGCCTGTTTCGTGGTGACCCGGCGGAAGCTGGTATTCCTGCCACGTGGAAGGAAATGGGGTGAGGAGAGAGGCAAGGTGGGGAGCAAAGGAGAGGCCCATGTTCAGCAGGTCCCAGAGCCGATGGTATTACTCACATGTGTTGGGAAGCATTGGGGTACAGTTTTGAAAACTGTGGGGCCGAGTCCTCGGGGCCGTGGGGCGCAGCGTGGCTGATCACCATCATAATGGGCCTATGGGGATACATTCTCTTAGACATTTTGAAGTAATTAATGCTCTCGTTAGTGATTAAGTCTGTGAAGTAGTCCTGAAACATACATTTGACACAAAACAGAAATTACAAAAGGTGACATTCATCAGATCACATTTGAATACTGCTTTCCTCAGAAGCAACTCCCTGAATGACGAGGTCAAGTCTAGAGCAGGAGGGAACCCTGGACTTCCCAAGGCAGAAGTCAGTTTGCAGGGACTTTCTAGGGTTTCTAGCATGGTAACACGTAAGAAATGTATTTTAAGCAATGCACAACTTAGCAATTAAGAAAGAAAAAAGTCAAGTCCTGTTTGCCCAAGATAATGATCAGATCTGGCAACCCAAATGCTAGAGCACATGAAACACCGGATACATATTTCATTCTCAGATTTTGTTGATGTAATCCATTGACTAAAAATTTAATTACTTCAAGGGCAGGAAACACCCACACCCACTACAAATTCACAGTTGCAGAACACACACACACACACACACACACACTCATACACACACACGAACAAACCTCTTTTCTTTAAATTAAAAATTCACCTGTGGGAATTACACAATAATTGCTAAGGAAAACCTTGGTGAAAATCTGGGTGCATAGGAAAAAGCTGCAACATTTTATCAATTAATTTACTTGAAACACTAAATATGGGAAGCAGTTGATTTCCTGCAGATTATCCTCTGTTAATTGCACGACTAAAGTGATCCAGCTGCTGGGATTAGGGCCTGATGTTAATAAAACGACTTAACCTTCAGTCCCAGGGGCTGATGCTAGGCTACAAGCAGAGGGAAGAAACGGGATGGAAAGGGAAGAAAAGATGAAAACTTAAATTAAACCACCTGCCTTTCCAAGTGTGTGTCAATGGCCTAGAGCTCTAGCATAAACTTTACAAAGTGCCCAGGCCCTGTTCACAGTGGCAGAGGCTTCGAGGCATGACGAATCACATGTAGATTTAAGGACCAGAACAGCTGCAAAAGCAGTGCCCAAGGGACCAAATCTGTGTCCCATGTCATTGTTAGGACAAGCCCACAGGCTATCACTTTTTTCTGTGGGAGCTGCTGTTTCTTTCCTCACTAAAAAATATATATATATATATATATATATATATATATATTCTGTTTGGACACAGTTGTCTTTGACACTTAATCAACTGTGGTAATAGGCAAGTTACGCTGATTTAGTCTTTGGAGGGAATCGTGATTACTTTGCTCTCCTTAGGACAACAGGGAGAGAAAGGTTAATAGCTTGAACAAGGAACATGCAAAGCATCCCCACAGATGAAAAATGATAGCGGTGACAAGCAGTACACTTTGCAGGATGCAGTTCAAATCTGCCTCCGCGGTCCCTGCCAGCTCTCAGCTTTGATGAGTCTGGAAACCTATCGGCAATGTTTGTGAACTCATTTGCATTCCTTGTTTTCCGAAGGGGATAAAAGAGGAGGCTTCCACCTTGTCTCCCACCAATTCCCACATGCTCAAATCAGGCCAAGCTTAAAGACAGCAATATGTCCAAATTAAACCATGTTCCCTCTTTCTCATTGCTATTAGTAGCTCCTTTGTAGTGATTTGTGCTGGAAAGAGCAGATTCCGCCTTCTTTTAGGTAAATGAGGAAGAGATGAGTACTGCTGGAAAGGAAGGGGGTATTTTGGGCTAATTAGCAGGCTGAATTCAAGGATATTTCCCCTTCGCTCCTGTGATCTGAAAATTGTTTTATTTATACTGGCAATCACAGAGCCCTGGGGAACTTTGAAGTCTAATCTAGGATCCACTTGTTAGAGGGCTGTGGGGCATGTCAATTCCAGTGTCTGTGAACTGATATGGAAATCCTGGGATTGGTAGCTTTAGAGACACTTGGGCTGGAGCTGCCATGGACAGGTGCGCTTGTCTCAGAGCTAAGTTTGGCAAGACGGGAGTAAAATTGAGGAGTGTGGGTTCCCAAGCCTTTGATTATTCCAATTGTCTGCCCTTATTCTTACATATAAATCTGAAGACAAAATTGACTTTCATCCCAATGAAAAGCCAAACAGTACAAGATGAACATTTGATTATGTGGACCAGTCCTCTGGGTGTAGGAGGGAAACCAAAAATTATCATAAGACAGAGTGGAGGCATCTATGATTTTCTTGATGCTACTTTCATCAAAGGCTGATTGCCTTGTGTTCTAATGAGGGGAAAAAATCACTATATAAAGTCAGTGTTCCTTGAGAGTCTTTTCTTGCCTGGAGTTGAAAATTACCTTAAAATTTCTCAATCTAACATTGTGAGAACATAGCAAGCCAATCTTGTGGATAGGTTAATTTGCTGGAAATGGCTGTTCCCCATTATGCACAAAGTAAATTGATGGCGTGTAAAAGTGCCTGAAAATTACCTTTGCATAATCAAATCCATGCTTTTCTTTGATGCCATTGCGACAAACAGTGTAATTATAGAAACGAGAATTCTTGATTAATCCAAGCCATTCTCGCCACCCAGGAGGGATGTAGCTGCCATTATATTCATTGAGGTATTTTCCAAAGAAGGCTGCAATGGGAAAAAAGGATTATTTTCTCATGCGAAATGATTAATCATAAATAAATGTATAAATGCATAAATATGAAATGATGGCTTGAAAAAGAGATGGTAGAAGAAAAGTTAACAGTGAATGCCAAAATAACGTTAGAGTCATACTCCAGTCCTTTGGCAAAGTGACATAGACACATTCTCCTTTTGAGTAAATAAAAGTAGTAGCCCCCAAATACATGGATCATAATTCAATAAACACCATAATGATCAAGGTACTCTGGGTGCAGCTATTCTTGTGGTTTTACTGGGATACCAGCAGAATCCGCCTTTTGTTGAGTTGACGCAGCATTCAGAGAAGCAGTCCGTGGGAGACTGGGAACGCTACCCCCGGAGAAGCGAGAGTTCAGTCCTTGTACTAAATTATGCTTTTTAACTCGCTGTTAAAGAATTGTGAATATTAGAAACACTACTGAAAAGCTTGTCTTTCTTTTTGGATATCCAGAGAGTACAGATTTTCTAAACCAAGGGACTGTGGTACATTTCGTTTTTATGGGACATGGTCAGAGTTCTCATGTGTCATGTATTTTGTCATCTGTGTTGACATCATGTGTATTTTACAAATGTGCATGTCTACCTCTTCAACATCAAAAATTCTGGCAGCACAGAATTGCTACGTAGATAACTGATTTTCATAGAATAATAGTCCAATTGAAGTGTTTCCTCGACAAATACTCATTGAAAAGGCCACCGGAAGGACTTCACATCTGTAACCTCAGCATGTCACATCCAGGAAAGGCCACTGTGCAACAAGGCTGACCTCTCAGAGAGCCAAACTGCAGCTATGGTCCTCTGCCAAAGATGACGATCGGAGAGAGGCTGGGGGACAGTAAGGTGGGTTGGGGTGGCAGGAACAAAATGTGTTCGATCTTGAAGTCAGACACCTTTATAACTATCAGAAGGTGGCCATAAGTATATTGTTGGTACACTTTTGAGAGAGAACGAGATTGCCATTTGTAATTATAGTAATTACACCAGGAAAACAAGTATACACAAACACTGTTCAGGGTAAACCTAAATGTTTGATCATCCTATGAGTAATAATTAGACACATACATAGCCTTGCCCTCAAGTATGAAGGACAAGAGAACATGTTATTTTATATATGCACATATAGGAATACATGTGTGTTGGTATGTGTGTGTGTACACACACCTATATCTACACATACATACACACGTGCATGCAAGTTTTAACTTTTCTGATTTTTAGAAGGCTTTCATCTTTAACTTAGGGAGAGACCATGTGCTCTTGCCTTCCAGGCCAAAGCTGCTGTCCAGCTTAATTAGGCCAGTTTTGCAGGTGCCTCCCTTACACACATGAGGAAAGGTAGCTCCTGGACGTCTGGCTTGGGGTCATGAAAACGGACCCTAGACTGCAGGCCCTTCCCTGGTGCGCTCTTCAAACACACATTTCTGCACCTTAAACTCACCCACTGTACGTCACGTCTGTGTTTTTAAGGGATAGCTGTGTATCTTGCTCTCATCTTGGATCCACAACTACCTGTAGCTTATCTCCAGCTGAATGTTTTCCTGGCCCTTTAACACAGTCATCCCCAAGGAATGAATCCCTTTCCCTTTCCCATTTACTTCTCAGCTGTCCTTTAATTCTCTGGGTGGCATAATTCTCCTGCCAGGTAATCAGACTTGGCAACCCAGAGCCTTCCCTGATTCTACCTGCTCCTCGCCCGGCAGTCGCCACTGCCTGTGGGTTCCACCCGGGTGACGCTCTCGGACCTGGCCTCCTCCTGATTACGTGACACCTCCACAGGTGCCCAGCTTCCTGGCTGGCTTTCCTTGCCAGGCGCTTGGGTCTCCCCACGCTCACTGCCATCTCCTGAAGACCATCTCTGGTCACATCATCCTCTTGTCACAGTCTAGACAGACCCTTGTCACCTGCAGGATCCAGACTAATCTGACAGAGTGCTATCCACGGCCTTCCTTGGGTCGGCACAAAATCTCTCTCTCTCAGCCATCTAGTATTTCTCTGTTCATGTCCCCCCTCCAGCTCTGGTTTGCACCCCCTACCACTGCCTGCGCTACTGTCTCCATCTCCCCCTCTGTGTCAGGCCGGAGCACATGCCTATCATTCCCGGTCTGTGCCCCAACCCCACAGCACTTTGTGTCTGTGGCTCTAATGCCATCTTCCCTCTCTTCCCAGTGGTAGAGTCCCGTTCACATGTAAGCCTACCCCTTCGCAGATGGGAAGGCGTCTGAGGGCAATCGTTGCCTTTGCCTCATCTCTGTACTAACCCAGCCTTGCACATAGTGCAGGGCTCCATACATTTAGTTTCTGGAACTGGGGTTCATGGACCCCCATGTATTCTGGGGATTCTACAGGTTCCAAACTTGATACATTTTGTTTTCACTTGGATTCTAGTTTTAATGCTGATTTGGTCTAAATACATTCATAGAATAGGGCTTCAGAGTTGCTGAAGTTGATGTTTTGCAGATTGATTTTTTTTTTAAAGAGTTGACTTTGGTCAGAGGAACTAGGCAATGTTGACTTATCTGTTGAATGAATGTTTATCTGTTGAATCTGTGAATGAGTGAGTGAATCACGCTGTCCAACGCCCACTGCCTGAGGACTGTGCCAGGGCCCAGAGCAGATGACAGGCGCAGGACAAGGAGCGGAGGCGCTCACGTCAGATGTGACTCAGGACTTCCCTCCGAGCTGACTCCGCGCGGTAGGAATTCTTCTAATGACGGGCTCTTGTCTTCAGACACTAACCACCTTCTCACACAGAACCACAGGAGGAGTTTCCTTTTCCGACAGAAGCAACATGACTCGGAGTCACAGGCAGCTGACCAACACCACACCCCAACAACGTCACCCCAGAAGGGGACTGTTTCCAGAAAGTTCCACTTAATAACCTCAGGCCCAGCTCTTTCCTGCGGCCTGCGCCTCATCCCTGGAGTTGATTCCATCCTCCTCTCCTTCCGTTTCCAAAGAAGGAAAAGAGCATAGTGTTTGCGATGCAAACCCTGCAGCCAGCCTGCTCCGGCTCCAGTCGTGGCCTGCTGCCTGCTATCTGCGCGTGCGCGGGCAAGCCACCTCTCTCTCCCGCTCCGCTTCCCTTTTCCTAAAACCCTGACGATGCTAACAACAGTCGTGGTTGGATGGCTGTCAGGATTGAGTGAGTTGATACAAACATCAAATGGTCAACACAGTGCCTGGCACATAGCAAGGGCCTGTTAAGCGCTGCTACTGTTACTGGTATTACCAGCACGGGCATCCCCTCCATCCTTGCAACCGGGCGCTCTGGCTGTCAATCAATAGCTGCGTCCTGCAGCGAGGGATGCTCGTCCTGGGGTTCTGCCTTGCGCGCTGGAAGACGTGTCTTGAGAAGTTCCAGTGTTTTTCTTTCCCAATCTGATTTATTTTGTGGCAACACGTTCTCTCCCATTTGGCTTCCATGTCCCTGCTTGATTGGTTTTAAAACTTTTCCTGCTCCTCTTAGTTTTATTTTTTGTTTTTCCCTCTCCGGGCAGCCATGCCAAGCCCTTCCTTCATCGTTTCCTTCGCGAAGTTATTTTGTACTGTTTTCTACCCATTGCCATGGCTATTGCCTCCCCTTTCGTCCTCCCTTTATAAACTATTTCTGCAAGTCTCTGTACTGGGCTTGTCATTCACGTCAGAACTCCCTCCAGGTTTTGGGTGTCTTTGTGTTAATGGAGTGTAAAGAATGTACCGTTTTCCAGATGTGCCCTCACTCCTCACACTTGTTCCAAAAGAGACCAGGACCTCATGCGTCACTAAGCGACACCCCAGTGTTGGCAGCTTCCAGCGACTCTGGCCTTTCTTGCTGCCTCCTGACATTGAGACTCATTTGTAATCACCCCTGGCAGGCTCTGCAATTGATTATCTGGGCTTCTAATTATTTCCCTCCAGATGTATTAAATCTCTTCCTCCCTCCCTAAGGTGAATTTCATTTTCTTGCCCATATTGCCATTATGTGTAGTTTGAAGTTGTTCTCTCCTTTGGCATTGGCCATTCAACGTGACTTGCTGCTATGCTACCTGAACAGATCACTAACATGCCATCCACCTGCCCTTCTGTACCATTTTCTCTCTGGGATGCCACTGAATACATCCTTTCACAGCTGTTCAAGAAGGTGGCGGTGGGTTAAGCACCAGGAGAAAGATCACAAAGACCTGATTATACATTTTTTGACTTTAGGCCATGCTACTCTGTCCAGGACTGTCTGTGCCATAAAGCACAGAACAGTTTCCTTGAGCTATCTGAAGCAAAGACATTTATTTTAAATCAGCAATAGTAACGACACAAAAGACTGTTGATGCTGTGAAGAAGTTAAATCTTATTCAGTATGACAAATGATATACTAACTGAGCTTTTACTCTATGTAATTGATAGATTTGGATCACAGGATTTTGCTAGCCATAACAAGTAATATACATAATTTTAAATCAAGTAAAAATTACGATTTCCTTTTATGTCAACTTGTATTCATGGGCCAGGTTTCCCCAATTAGATTGTAAGTCTATATCTCTTCATATCCCAGTGTCTAAGAATGCTGTGGTTCAGTAAATAGTACAGTGTGGTGTGCTATGTCTTATGTGCTTATTGAAAATCTATCATATAATTCATAAAAATAAGAATATTAATTTGTCTTACTTTAAGTAAACTCTACATTGACAAAATTCCATATTACAGAATATATTTCCCATAAGGAACATAAATACGCTTTATAATATAAAAATACATAACATTAGAAAGTTGACTACTTTGTCTAAATTGTTTTGCTACAAAAGAATTCTCTACAAAAAGTTTTATCTCTATTAAATATTGTCCCTTCCACTCCAGTGATACGTAGAATTAACAAGACTAAAATTTAATTCACATGTGATTTCATGTATTCTGATTTTAATTTAAATACTACAATTTTATAATAACTAAAGTGTGGTTATAATAAAATTACAGTATAATTTTGGACAGGAAAAAATACTTGGGAATCATTCTAGTCCAATCTCTGCACTTTATCGGTTGGAAAACTGGCCTCTCTAGAAGTTCTCAAAACAAGTGAAAGGTAGAGCTAGGACGTGTCTCCAGGGGTCCTCAGTTTTTGTTCAGGGTTTTTGCTAACACGCAATGCTACCTCTAAAATGTGGATCATCACCTTCACCTTAGAACTATGCTGGGTTTCCCATGCATGTCTGTACCCTCACACAAAATTTAAACTAAAATAATTTTGAGCATAGAGTCAGGCAGGATATTCATTTTTATGACAGATAATCCAATGTCATTCCCAGTTCACTTGTCAGAACATAAAATGCAATAGACATGTTACTGTATTTTCCCCTTCTCAAACATTTAAGCTGTTGTGGGCTCATATTTTCCATGAGTAAGTTTAGAAAAATTTAGGCTCTAGCCAGTCCAAAAATATGCCTCAGTTCTGAAAAAGAAAAATCATGTCATACAACAGTAAATATAATATTGGATCAATTCGATTCATTTAAATCCGTGAATTCTGGATTCCTCCCAAAATAAGCCTCTTAGTAATTTGTCTTCTCTGAGCTGTTCTTCGTAAATCTAATTGCTGCTTTGTATTTTTCTCTCAATGGATATTTGTGTATAATACATATTTCAGTTTCCTTCATTATTTTTCTTAGGTTCTCAGCAAAATGTTCCAAATAATGCATTCATTATTAAGACAACAATAAGATCTTTATACGTTGGCTCTTTTCCGACTAGTCTAGTGGCTCATAAATAATCGTGCTGGTTTAATATCTACTCACCAATTCTCTTAATTCCCTAAGGTGCCTGTCATCTTGATATGCTTCTTTGTTTGTTTTCAAATGTGTCACTGTCCCTGTTTAGATCAATAATTATTATCATAAAGACATCTTTATTTTCTAATTGTCTCATATACTTCGATATGCTCCCATTAAAGATTAATTAAAACTCTATAGCTCTCTATCACTGCCACTTTAGTCTTCCGTTTATAATTTTTCTGATTTACTAATGGGCACACCATGATTTATTTTCCACATTAAGTATTTGGATAAATCCTTGTTACCCTTAGAAAAAAATTTCTTTCATTTTGTAGGGTGACTCATTGTAAATTCCACTATTACCTAAGTATCTAGACCCTTGGGGAGAAGGCTGGCTTCAGAATCTGGCTTATTTTCCAAGAACAAATCTCTCCTTGGAGAAGTCAACTGCATGAAGCAGGCCCGCTGAGCTGAACAAAAGGTCAGACACCTGTCATGGGCAAAGCCTCACAATGTATAGTCTCGTCCTAGACCTACCCACAAGTCACGGTGGCACCCTGGAAAGAGCCCTGAAGACCAAGGTCCTGAAGACCTGGCCTTCCCATTGCAAGGCAGATGTGTTGCTTCAGCAAGTCACCTTAACCCTGTGGGTCTAAGTTTGCTCATCTGAAAATAAGGGAATTGAACTACATTATCTGAGTTTTAGTCAAGCTCTTGCAATCTGTTGTAGGGTGGATACAGCATAGCATAATTGAAACAACTAGTAGAATACACCATATTTCTTAGAAGCCGCCAAGATGGTTTTATCTTGGTGACCCAGTATACTTTGAAATGGATGGTGTTTCCGTTTTTGTTTTTGCCACCAGGAAGCTTATTTTTCCAATATGCAGCCTTTCTCTACAACTCCGTGGCATGCAGGCTGTATACCACCCTTTGCCTTGACTTGATCTATTTCTCTTCGTTTCCATTTGTCAGGGTCCTTATTACACTGTATCCTAGGATGTTTAATGTGTCTCTCTAAGGCACTTTGCAGTGGGGCATGATAGAAACACATGCAAAGAAATAAGACAATGGGAAGAGGAGAGTTTGGAATCAGATATGCTGGATTCATTCTTTCACTGACTGTATTCCTAGACAATAAACTCTCTCTCTTTTTTTATTTGTGTTTGTTAATCCTCACTAGAGGATATTTTTTCTATTGATTCTTTTCAGAGAGAGTGGAAGGGAGGGGAGTGAAGATTGAGAGAGAGAGAGAGACAGACAGAGAGAGACAGAGAGAGAGAGAGAGGAGACACATTGATTGGTTGACTCCAGCACTCTCCCCTGCAACCCAGGGATTGAACCTGCAACCCAAGTACATGCCCTTGACTGGGAATTGAACCCAAGACCCTTCGTTCCTTGGGCCGGCGCTCTAACCACTGAGCAACTCTGGTCAGGGCAACAATGAACTCTCTTGAGTAACTGTTTCTTCACTGATAACACGGGCAAATCCTTTCTTTCAAGGTTTCTGTAAGAATTAGGTTAGAAAACTTAGCTAAAATGCCTGGAATAGGGTAGCTAATCCCCCCTCCCCTTTCTTTTCATCCACAGTTTTACTGAGATATAATTAACAATAAAAATTGTATATATTTAAGGTATACAACCTGATGGCCCACCATAAGTAAATATTGTGAAATATTCACCATTGCCAAGCCAATCAACATATCCATCATCTCACACCTTTACCATTGTCCTTTTCCCACTCTGCGGTGAGAACACCAAAGATCGACCCTCTTAGCAAATGTCGAGTACACAATACAATATTACCAGCTATAGTCACATTGTTGTATGCCGTGCTTCCAGAACTTATTCATCTTCCCCCTCTTTCTTGGTTTAGCTCTGAAACAAGTGAGCAAACCCGGGCTGGCTGCTCTCCGTCCTGTCAGGGTGCCCTGGGTCACCACCCTGCATCTCTGTTTATCACGAACATCGTCCATATCGCTCTGAAGATGGTGAGTCCCAACCCTCCAAGCTGCATGTCCGCTGCGAAGGATTAAATTATAGGGAGCCTGGGAGTGGCAAGAAGGCCCTGATCTCACACCATGATTTCCGGGAACAAAACAGAATTGGGTGGTTAAAATCAGGATCCAGACATTAGGAGACCACTGCTGATTTTACTTCTGAGCTGGTCACACAATTTTTGAAATCCTCACCTCAGTCATAAAACAGAGCCAAGTACATTTGCTGTCTATGAACCCTATAGGGATGCTTGATGGATTTGCAAATTGCTTTAGAGCTCTCAGCTGAGAGTTGCTATAAATTTAAATCACTTATGTGAGAAATAGTCAGAATAAGGTGCTCTGAGTAACCCAGTTTCTTTCCAAAGCATAAGCGAACACCTGTGGGATTCATGGGAGGAGCTTCCTCTGTGAGCGACAATGTTGAGATGTCCATGCATGATGATGCTGTCACAGTCACAAAGAATACTTTCATCCATAAATAACAGGTACTAAGGGCCCACGTGGCACTCTGCAAAGCAGCAAATGGCCACATATTTCCTGAGATTAGTGGAAAAAGTTAATTTCATTTTTTGAAGACATTTAACAGAATACATTTATCTGAAATCCTTTACTTTTAAATCTTTGGAATAGAGAAGCTGTAAAATCATTTCCAACAAGCTTTAATGATAACATCATTCATTCTTATGACTACGTCTACGTAGTTCTGAATCTGTTTAGCACTGTAGCCCCTCTAGAAACATCCTTGTGTCCTCTCGTGGAGAGATGCTAAAAGCATCTACATGCACTTTGGCCGGCATGGGGGTGGGGGTGGGCTTACTAGAAAGAGGCTTGCTTCTTTCTTAGAAAGATTGGCATGATATTCATGACCTCTCTTGAAAGAGGGCCCCAATTTTAAAAGACCAACTAATGCAAACCTTCCTCTTGCCTTGAGTAGGCTAAACAATGGCAGGAGGTCCAGCAATTGCCTTCCTTTCTTGGAAGACGAAGGTGAACATTTGAGACCCAATGGCCACAATTTAAGCTAAAGAAATTCCAAATCTGACCTAATTATGAGTGAATAAATACATGCACCAATAAAGTACACATCACTGGTTTATTCCTTCAGTGATTTATTAATTCAATAAATGATTGTGATCACCTATTGTGGACCAGACCCTGGGGGAAGGCTAAGCAGTTGATGAATTTTTACTGAAACAATCAGCCGAAATTTAACAACATCTAAGATAAGCCTCAGCTGGGCCATGATCCCTTGAGATGCGGGAGGTTGAGGTAAGCAGGTAAATAAATGGGATGGAAATTCATCTGATATAGGTTCCCCTGGAAAATTCCAGTTGCTGGGGAAAACACTTTCAGAATGTGTCCACTGAGAACCACTTTGACTTCTTTCTAAGGGCGCCCCCACTGGTACCTCTTCCAGAGTGAAAAAGTGGGGGGGTGGGGAGGATACCCATACAGCAGAGAACAGCCCAAATTCTTCCATCTCGGAACTTATTGGAACTTCATGGCACACTGCACGTCCCCCTGTCTAAGCCGTCTGTCAAAGTCTCAGGGCCAGAAAGTTCACCCTTTACCTGTTCTGTAGCCAGTGTTGTTAAGAAACACCGCGAACGTCCGAGGCTCGTGCATGGCCTGCCACGAGGGGGAAGAGCAGTTCTCGTTGTTGGTGTAGACGTTGTGGTTGTGCACGTACTTCCCGGTGAGCATGGACGAGCGGGACGGGCAGCACATGGGCGTGGTCACGAAGGCGTTGGTGAAGGTGGCCCCGCCCTGCTCCATAATCCGCCGCGTTTTGTTCATGACTTGCAGGGACCCTGGAAGGCACAATCCCGGTGTTGTTTAGCCCTCTGTGTCTTATCGCTCAGTGACTCTGTTCCCCTGATGTATTCATTTCCTTGCCTTGGCTGGAAGAAGTCTATAATTTGACCAGCTTTCATTTCCAGAACAAAATTAAAACATATGGGATCCTCCCACCTCAAACACTGTGCAGAGCAATAAACACATTTCAGCTTCTCCCCTTCTTAATCACAAGGAGAAAAAAAAATGCAGGCTAATCTGATCGTTAAAGCTAGAATTGTAGATACGGAGCAGATTCAAAGGCGAGCGCCCTTTGAAGAGTACGAACTGTTACACAGAGCATAAACCCCAGCCCACCACACATGCACAGAGCTAGTGACGTGGTCGCGAGGACTAGATAAGTGTTTTAATCATGTGAAATAAAAGAGGAAAACAGTTTTTTCTACTAAGTGAAAGTCCTTCCAAAATGCCTGTATTTAATTAAAAAAAAAAAAATCCTCAATGTAACTTGGTATCCTCTACCAAACTCACCGAGTGCCTGCCTGTTTTCCTATGAGGAGAGGACTCCCGTTTCTATTTCACCTGTTTGCATGTAATTTTAAAAGACAGGTTGTTTGTTTGTGAGAGAGTTATGATTCTAGTGCCTTCGAAAGTATCTGCACGGTGGAAAAAATATTCAGTTTTAACGATAAAAGATTAAATTGTAACATAAGATTGCCAAGGAAGAAAAAAAAAATCTATTTCGATTACTCTATCCAGCCAAACACTGCAGCTGAAACCCATCCAAGTACTGCAGAGAAAAGCACAGGCCAGAATTCAATAGTCTTTTCAGGACTTGTCAAGAAATGCACTACAGAGCACCGCAGCCAAGCGCACTGCATTTGAATCCTGGAGACTCACATTTCCAATAGGTCCCACTTCTTCCAAAGAAAGGGAGAAAGTCTGTGTAGTTTTCCAGCAAGGAAGGAAATCGTAATGCAAACCAGGCGAGCATTCACAGCAGAAGAGAAGCGTGCCACCCTCCAAAAAGCCAGTTTGCCTGATTTTTTCACATACCAGCTTTTATCATTCACATGAAACATGCAAACGGAGGAGGTTTACTAATTGGGTCTCATTAGAATTCCCTAAAATAGGCTTCACTTAGGAGGATCCCAACTGCTTCTTCCCCTCTGGGTGTCTTTAGGGTGTCCCACAACCTTTTTGTAATCAGTGAATAACGTCAAGAGTACCTATTTTATGCTAAACATTCTATCATCCTTGCACTCTGGGTTGGTCCCCAAGTGAAGCTGTACATTAACAAAGGAAATGGAAAATTCTCTGCTGCCTCTGGTCTTCAGTAGTAAACTACCTGGAAGAAAACCTAATATAAAAATCCTGGGGGATATTTGCAAAGCAACGTCCACATAAGAGTGAGATACAGCAGTCGCAGTGCCTCTGAGGGTAGAGGGGACCTGGAGTAAGTACTGAATAAGGGTCCTGAGAGCTGAGAGCTGAGGAACGGACAGAGGGAAGGAGAAAAATGTGCGATGGGTGAAGCAGATTGTTGGGAGAATGGGGAGGATGCTAAGAAGTGGAGTGATGAGTACATCACACTGGTTTCCTGGAATCAGAAAGAATATGGAGCATTCTCTTGAAGTGTGGGAGGCAGAGCTAGCAAAGAGCTTGGAAGCTGGATAGAGATATTTGGATTGGATAGAATAGGCAAAATAAAGCAGAGGCGGTTCTTTGCCAAAGGCATGAATAACACGGTAAGAAACAAGTCTTTGAGAGGTGTTGCTGTGGCAATGTGGCAATGGGGGTACGTGCAGAGGAAGGAATAGGCTGGTCCATCAAGGGTATAGCCAAGAGGTTGCTGAAGTCATCAGGCCACGAGGTGATAAGAATCTGAAATGGATTGTGTCACTAAAATAGAACAGCTCTATGAAGCAGATCCAAGAGACTTTGTAATGCATCAGAAGGCTATGACTGAACTAATACCTCAAAGTTTCCTGTATGAAAAGAAAGACTGAAAAAACAGTTATTTCACTGTTAGTCAAAAAATATCTAAAAAGAAATATGCCCTATAGATCAAAGAAGGTCACTTTGCAACGGTTGCATTTTGCACTTGTGCTGGTTGATCCTACAGGGGAAGCACCTGGAGATGAACAGATGACGAGGGACATGGGCGTGGGAGAGTGACAGGTACATGCTAAAGTCTGTCACTTAGCGCCCTCTCCTCTTCAGGTATCCAAGGTGCTTGTTCATTGTAATATCCTGAATTTTGGAAAAACTCAGCAAACATGTTGATGAATTTTCATTGCCTCATAATCTCTTTATTTCAAAGAATGAGCTCTCAGAGTTTCCTTTATGAGACTAGCTGAAGTCAAATTAAAAAAAAAAAAAAATGCAGCTAGAAGCCATCTTTTAAGGTCCCGAATCACAAAGCTACAATCTCCAATTTTTAGACTCATTTAGACTGCAAATAGGGGATGGTAGGTGGGAATCTGATCTAAGGTCAGATAAGATAAAAACAGGCTAAAACAGCCCAATTCAAATCTCAGGAATTGCCCCAGCCAGGACTCGCCTCATTATAAATGTTCTTACCAATCCCTGCCAATGCTCGCCTTCCAACTAGCCCCATTTCGAAGTGATCAATGAAGACATTTGGTTGCTGCCATCACTGTGACCACCACAGCTCCATCTTTGGGGTTCCTGAAAGTGGGCACCTGGCTTGAAGCTTTTCAGTAAAGAGAAGATTCTGTGACATCCTTCCCCAGCTGTAACCATCACCCGGAGAATATGTTAAATCACAGAATTCTGGGCCTACCTGAAGATACTGACTTAGTAAGACCAGGGAAGGACCTGAGAACTTGCATTTCTAATAAGCTCCATGTCTGTGGACATGCTTGGAGAAGTATTCTAGGTCGGACACAGAATCAGGGAAGCCTGGAGCTGGAAGAGACTTTTGTGGCTGCCTTGTTTAAGTGATCTAAGTGGCTTACACCATGTCCAAGGCTATAGGATGCTGTAGACAGAAAAAGAAAACATTGATTTTATACTTACTCTTCGATTCTCCTCTCGGGCTCCTCACACAGCATCTCATTTAATCCCGACAATAACACTTTGTAGTGGTGCTATTATTTATTACTCCCATTTTAAGGATGTTAAAACTGAGATGTAGAGGTTTAAATAGTACGTGTAGGGCCACACGGAGCCCAGGTGCAAATACAGACAGCCTTCTCCAAAGACTATCTCTTCAGCTCCGTGGAGGCTGAGCACTGGCTGTAACACTGATGTTTTCAAGACAGAGAAACAGAAATGATGTCTGCTTGTAGTCAAGATATGCCTCCCTTTCTGTAGTCTCATATTTTGCTTCATCTTATCTCTTAGGGGAGATACTGACAAGAATGCCTGCCTCCTGCCCTCCTAAAGGCTGAAGGGATCTCAGCAGACAGACATGGGTCTGTCTTCAGTAGCTGACAGCCACACGGGTGTTGAGCATGGCCTCTGATCTCAGGGGGTTGCGTGGCTAGATGCAGAGGATGGAGTGCAGGGAGCATGCCTCTTCCCTCTGCTGAGCTGGCGTGCACCCGAGGTAAGCACAAAGCTCCTCTTCCTTATGGCTGCGCAGTGATTAATGTTGGTCAGTATCAACACTGCCATGTGACGGTGTCCCTGACTTTTCATTGGGAAACTGACACAGACTATTCTGTAATAAAACTCCAGAGTATGCATTTACGGATGCTGAGAGGAGTGGATGGGACAATATCCTGTCCTGTTGTTGGAAGGGCAACTATGTCCTTTGTTTTAGCTGAAGCTCCTCACCTCTCTGGGTTTCAGGACTTCGTTGCCTACAACGCAAGCCATGCTGGTCTGTAGTTATCAGAACAATTATTTCATAGAAATGATATGAAATTTAAGATGGAAGACTCATAACGATATTCCCACACCATGGCTTAGGACGATAAGAATGAGAAGAGAAAGAGCCCTGGACTTGAACTTGTGGGGCAACATCTGATTTTGCCACAGATTGGCTTGAGCACATCACGTGTCCTTTTCTGGTTTGCGTTTCTCACCTGTGAGATGGAGCCCGTGGCACTTCCCTGTTCTAGTTCACAGTGGGAGGAGCCTGTGGCGCGGGGGGCTGGGCTTCCCATCTCCCTGACTGTGCTCTACCTCTCAACGCCAGAAGCTGGGATAAGAGCAGGGAGGTTACTGCAGATGAAATGTGTCCCTGAAAATTCACATGTTGAAATGTAAGGCCCCAAGTGATGGCAGCAGGAGGTAAGACCTTCGGGAGGTCATGAGGGTGGAGTCCTTGTGGATGGGATTAGAACCCTTAGAAAAAGACTGCAGAGAGCTTCCTTGCCCCTTCAGCCATGTGAGGACACAGGGGAGAGAGACATTTATGAACAGGAAAAGGGTTATCACCACACAGCAGGAGTCTTGACCTTGGAGTTCCCAGCCTGAGGACTGTGAGAAATAAACATATTTTGTTTATAAGTCATAAGCCACACAGGCATTTTGTGATAGCAGCCCACATGGGCTAAGACAGAGATCAACTACTTTTTCTCTTTAAGTCTTAGGTGTTAAAGCTGGCTGACAGTTAAAAACATCAGTTTTCTCCCCTGCCACCCACATTTGCGCAAGAAGCTCAAGGGCACTGGTTTAGGGCTGTCCTGGGAGGCGGAGCCTGGCGGGGCTGCAATGACAGGGCTGCTGGTCGGTCCAGCAGCTGGTGAGGGCTGAAGGGCCAGGCCACAGCTGAGTCCGGCTGCCAGGGAAAGCTGTCCCGGTGCCTGAGTTCCAGGTGGGGACTGGGGACGTCTGCCGTAGCTGCCGCGGGGGTGGGAGGCTGTGACAGCATCCGGGTGGACCAGGACTCTGCTGGGCCACGGGGACTGGGAGGGAGGCATGGCACTCCCCAGGAATCCTGTAGGATCCCCAGGCCTGCACATTTGGTGGTTACAAATCCAGGCTCCAAGAGGAGTCCTTCGGGTGGACTAAGTGACAGATTACTAGGGCTGGACGGAACCAT